GTGGGTGTTTGTAGAAAAGACTTGAAGTGGGAGGGGACAGGAGGTAGTCAGGGAGGCAGTGTAGTGAGAGCCCTAGGAGCAAGGGCTGGGTTTGACTGGGTTTGAGCCCTGGTTCTGCCATTTACTAGTCCTGTAACTTAGAGCCAGTTGGTTAAATCTAAGACTTAATTGCTGAATTTATAAAATGGGACAAAAGTAACCTACTGTATAGAGTTGTGAGGTAATGTATATACCATGCATATTAAATATTGATAAGTTTATTAAGTCAGTCTGGGGGAAGAAATGGAATAGTGGGGGGTGCTCCCTTATACAGCTAATCAATGACATCTGTCATTGGTTATCTTAAAAAGAAGAAGGGTCGATATGGATTGAATTATTCATCGATGTTCTAATACTTACTGATGTGTTTGCTTATTAAAAACACTCGCACAAAAAGATGTTTTCCTTTTTCCCTATAGAGGGAAGTAAAACTTATGAAAAAAGACTTAACAGGTTAGTTGCCACTTGTAACTTTTGTCATTGAATGATAAATTCTGGCTTTGTTTTCTTTATGCATGCTTTCCATTGTTGAATTTCACTGCAGATTTGTCGGGTTTTCTGTCCTTTTTCTTCTGTTTCTTGCAGGCTTCCTGGTTAATCAGTTATTTCATCAGTGTTTACTACTTGTAAAACAAAAAGGATAAATGGTATGCAGCAAATATAAATTGATGAGGCATGGATAGAATTAATTTTAATGAGAAAATAAGTCTCAGAGGACTAAAATTTGTTCAGTTAAGTAGCTTGTGCAAATTCTGTCACGCTTTTCACATGTCATATGTTTTCATCTGTTAAACATTAGTGAATCATGTTAGATTAGCATCCATAAACTTCTAGGTTTTTACATCTATGTTCCAGAACTCTGAGGTGGCATAAAGAAATCTTTTTGAGTTCTTCGTAATATTACAGTAGCCACTGTGGTGTAGATGCCTTGTACATTTGACATTCATTACTGAAAACAAACATAGAGAATTATCACCTCCGTTTCTAAAAATCTGCCAGAGGACACATGCACTGGCCAGAGAGAGAGATAAAGGTATAGCAGCAAGAGGGAGAAGACACCCCTGGACAGGGCTATTCACACTACCACCCCTTCTCCTCCTCTTCTCCCGTCCTGTCAGGATTTGGGACACACACCCACATGCACTCAGCATGTTTTTCAAGCTGCCAGGACTGGGATTTGAACTGCGGTCCACTGTGTGGGATCCAGCTCGATTACCCACTGGAATACAAGGGCTGGCTCTATCCTCTCTATTTTATAGGTAAAGATAACCATTCAATAGGAGAGTAAGAATTTGAAAATCATATATATTTTTTAATGACAGAAAAGATGATTTATTGTACACGTATTACACTCGGCCACAAGTAACAGCTCTAGTCCCAGAATGTCACAGGTACAGGGAAAAGGACCACAGGGGCTGTCTTGTTAGGAGCAACGTGGTCTCTCAGAGGTCTTCGCGATCCGCTGGCCATGGAAGTTCTAGATCCAGAGGCAGAGTCGACAGTATCTCGCAGTCCAACTAGTACCAGCGCCCCGAGCCTCCGACACTCCGTTTCCGCTGCAGTGGCCTCCATAGGTGCACAAGCTGTTTACTGGGACCTCTGCCTCATCTTTCTTCTTTTATGCTCCAGCCTGCGCATTTGCTTCTTCCTCCACTTGGCTCTCATGGCGCAGTGGGGTCTGAGAAAATGGCGCTAAGGCCAAGAGCTGAAAATCGTATTTTGATTTAAAAGTTTGCACTTTTAAAAACCAGGCCGCCAACTGTGTCTAACTGACGATCAGTTAAGAGACTGCAAGGCTGAGCCCCTGAACAGTGGCAAGGTGTGTTTATTGCCTTCTGCCCTCCTTCCAGTCCCAGCTCCCACTTTACTTCCCAGTTTTGCTAAACGGAATCTTGGCTCTAAAGGGTTAACTTGAAGAATCATCCAGTCTGGTGGCTCTTGAGTCATGAGGATTGCCTGGGATATGTATTTCTTTGTAAATTATGATGAAGTGAATTTAAGTTGGCGCTCAGAACCCCCCTCTTTTTTTAAAGAGATTTTTGCGATAGGGCATGTGTACTCGCCAGAGACACAGAAAGTGAGAAATCACCCCCGAGGGGGATGGCCATGCCGGAGTCCCTTCTCTTCCATTCTCCTCCTGGGATTTTGGGCATGCATGCACACATACCCAGTGTGAGGTTTTTTTGTTTTTGTTTGTTTGTTTGTTTGTTTTTAATATTTTCGAGAGGTTTTATCTATAGGGCGTGTACACTTGCCAGAAAGACAGAGAGAGACATAAAGCGAGAAATCACGCCCCATGGGGAATGGCCACGCCACAATCCCTTCTCCTCTGTTCTCCTCTCGGGATCTGGGTATGCACGTGCATGTGTGAGTTTAAACCACTGGGTCCAGGACTCGAACCATGGTCGACTACATGGGAGCCCAGCTACATAGCCATTGCCCCAACTGGTGATCCTCTCCCCCCAGTGTGAGTTTTAGGCTGAAGGTCCAGAATTTGAACTGCAGTTGACTATGTGGGACTCCGGTGTCGTAACCATTACGCCATCTGCTAGTCCCAGGAACCTGTGGTTTAACCAGCTCTATGTGTGATCTTGATAATCTGACAGGTTTGGGAACTATTTCAATTTATTATAGATAAATGAATCCCCTTTCCCAGCACCCTCTCCAGTTTTCCTGACAAATAACCATCCAATCTCTGTCTTGTCATAGGAACTCACTACTACTTTTTTTTTAAACAATTGTTTTATTTTTGTTTATTATTATTTAATTGACTATATATAGAGAGAAGGAGACAGAGAATGAGAAAGCAAGCTGCCAGATCTGGGATTCAAACTGTATTCAACCCTGTGGGAGTCCAGCACCTTAACCACCACACCACCTGCTGGTCCAGAATTTACTACTGCTTTGCTAGGAAGGTCATTTCATCAGTAGTTAAATGTAGTGCTGTACTTCCATAGAAGTTTTTACTTATTGCCTTTTATACATTGAATCAACTTCTTTGGAAAGATTTTTATACTCTTTAGGGGTTGACTTTGAAGCCAGATCTGAGTTTGAATCTTCTGTGAACTTCACCTTCTTGTGTAAAATGGGTATGTTGTTATCTGCCTCAAAAGGTTATATTAAAGAATTAAATGAAAAAATAAATTGTCCTGGCTGGAAAGATCCTTGAATACCCAGACAGCCTTTTCTTACAGTTCCCCTTACTTTGTCAGTCTGTTCTGAAATAGTGCCACATCTGCAGGTGTCTAGGTAGCATCTGCAGTACCCCAGCGTGTGGTGCAGGCAGTAAGGGTAATGTCGCATGATGCTGGAGCCATGTGGGAAGGCTCCAGGTTTATGACCCGAGTCATACCTGAATATTCGGGGTACATCTATGGGTATGTCAGGTTGACTGCAGGGCTGGGAGGATGATTACAGCATAAGGGCCCTGGCAAGGTACCTGTCTCTCTCTCCTTCAGGAAATAAGTAAACTTAAAAAAAGAAGTGTGCATTTAATAGAGGCTCTTGGATATTCATTCTGGGATTGTTATGCCAAAAATAGGTTTTCATTTTGCACAGTTCTTCTTGCTCTTTCTTTGGACAAAGAATATGATACTTCTTCTGGGGATAGATAAGCCTGCCTTTCTGAAAGGTCAGCTTTCATCCTCAAGTAAAGTTATTTTCCTCTGATAACTTAAACCCAAAGCAGAACAAATGATCTCCAGGAAGACCTTCAAAGATATTCTTGGATTATAGAGACCCAAATGGAGAATTAAAAAACGATTCCATGTCTTTTTCCTGTCAAAGAGTAGAGGCGGGTAACTGATGAGCACTGTCTATAGGTAAGGGCTGTTGGTCAGTGGAAGGCTTGGTAAACTGTTCAAGACCCTGAAAATAATTTCTCATCACAGCAGTTTGATTTGGTTTGGCTGTTGAAATGTATGTTTGCCTTGCTTTTCGTAAAGCAAATTAGGTGTGCTCTAGAGTTTAGGCCGTCAGCCACACTTCCTTTAGGCGCTGACTACTGAAGAGTTCCTAGGTGATGGTCTCCTGTGGGCTTGAGTGAAATATGGTGGAACAATTTTTTTGTTTCTACTTAGTTTGTATTAGCTCCCTGTTTTGAAAAAGAATTTTTTTTTGAAGAATGATTTTTGCTATAGGGCATGCACTCACTAGAGAGACAGAGAGACAGAGAGATAGAAAGTGAGAAATCACCGCCAGAGGTGGTGAACACACCACAATCCCTTCTCCATTCTCCTCTTGGGATTGTGGGGCATGCATGCACACACACCCAGTGTGAGCTTGAAGAAACCAGGCCTGGGACTTGAACCACTGATGGCCATGTGCACACCCAGCGACATAACCACTATGCCATCTGCTGGGCCCTTGAAAATGTTTTTGAATCTAAAATCATGAAAACACAATTTGGGGTTAAATTTTTTTTCCATGTGATTGCTTTTCGCACGGTAATTTTAATACTTTGGACACATTTTTACTTAAAAATATCTAATGTGTGGAATTTATTGCTCATAAATATTAAAGATGTTCAATAAAATTACATTGGAATTATAATCATCTTTTGATTTTTCAGGAAAGTAATTCTGTATGCTGAGTTCTTAGTTGCTGTCTCCTCTGGGGGAGAAACATCTATTAATTTGACATGGAGGCAGGGGGGCAAAGCCAATTCTCTTGACTTTTCTTTTTAAATTTACTCTTTTAGCTCATGTTAGAGAATATCAGTCTGAGGTAGAGAGGTATACATGTTATAGGATGTTAGGCAAAAAGATGCAATTTAATTAATTATAGAAACTTATATTAAACTTCACGTTACCAAGTCATTATTTTAATGAAAAGAATGGCAGTGTTAGTAGAACTATCTGTAACTTTCATTTATGTCATCAATCCACAGCAGGAAACTAACGATTTGCAATTAATTTTGTGAAGTAATCTTGTATTGTCTTGTTCTGTGTTTTTATTTTTAGGATCGGAGTAGGCCATATGACACTTTTAACTTGCACTCGTTGGAGAACTCCTTAATGGATATGATAAGGACTGATCATGAGCCTCTGAAAGGTAAACACTACCCTCCCAGTGGCCCACCAATGAGTTTCGCTGATATAATGTGGAGGAATCATTTTGCAGGTTAGGAACATTCATATGTCCATTCCTTGCAAAAATCAGCTTTTTAATAATTGTGATTTTTTTTTGGGTTTGTTTTTGTTTGTTTTTGTTTTGCTTATGTAAAGCATTGTGGAATGTATTTAAAGTTGATTTTTTAAAAATCTGGGTTTAGCTACTTAACAGTAATCAAGGGTGGTTGCTTTAATTGGTAATGTCTGGCAGAAGCATGCATTGAGTAGCTGAGGTCACAGTTATGGCCTGAGAGCAGAAGCCAGGTTTTCTGGGCTTTGTGGATTTGGCGTTCTCAACTGAAACTATTGTAGATCATTTTTAAGTGCAGTTGTACTGCAAGGAAGTATGAGCTTTAGTAAACCAATATCCAAAAACTACTTCAGAAAACCTCATGAAAAAGGGTTCCATTTTATTAAAGTGTAATCACTTTCCAAATATCGGGCATATCCTTACACAGACTTAAGAGCAGCCAGCGATCCCTTGTATTCTCTAAGGCTAGAGTGCAAAGAAAATGTCTTAAAGTACATAAATGTCTTGAGTTAAATACGAGGCAGGAAGTCCCAAGATCTGCAACAGTAGGACTTTCCATTTTTAGAGCCCATATAAATTCTGGATAAATGTTGAGGTTACATTCACAATTATAGATAGTTCCTCTTATGGGTGATAGGACTTTTTAGGGATCCTGTGGTATGTTAAAATCCTGGAATGCACATTGTCCATGTCAGTACCTGCTGTGCTTGGGTTAGGACTAGAGTAATAACTGGACACGGTGAAGAGCGAGTACGGGGCCGCTCATCTTCTGCGGGCCCTTGTGTCTCAGGGTTGTGTGAGAGATCTGATCTCCCCTGGTTCACTTATACAGGTGTGGAAGGGCAGGGGGCTGACCGTGAACTCCTGGTACTCATTTCCTCAATCCACATTAGAAATCCATTTCACCATTTTCTTGTCATACTCATGATTTTGTGCTGCTTTCCTCATTTTCTAGTGGGGAAAAAGAAGTTAATAGGCTATAAAGAAAATAAAGGATTTTGAGAACAGCTAGATTGTAAGGCATTCAGAAGTAGGGAAAAAAATCTATTCCCTGTTATATTTAGTCACTGTTACCACATCTTTTTTTCAGTTAAAAGATTAGGTTCACGGTAATTTAAAGATATTTCACTTCGAAGTGAGAACAGTGCTTAAAAAAAAAACCAAAATCTAATAATATTCACAGACCATTTTGTGTTTTTAGATCTTTCAAGGCTGCATTTTTCTTCCTTCCCTACCATGAATAGCTTTAAGCCTTTCCTAATTATTCTGAAATATTCAGCTCCTGTTCTTTATGCATACCTGTTTTATCTTGGTCCGTGTTCTTTTCTTACAATAAAAGATTATGAAAGAATCTTAGATTATACCGTCTAAAATAAATCTCCAGAAATTTGTGAAAATTGATTACACTGGAGCTACTTGCCCTGTTGAACATAGCACTGTCTATAAGTTTAAGGAGGGTACCTCTATATGGGGTCATGTAAATACATTATTCCATTTTCTATGGCCTTTTTTGGGGGGTTCTGGGGGTTGCCATAGGGTGCATGTGCTCACCAGAGACACACACAGAGTAACAGAGAGAGGGAAACTGAGAAATCATTCACTCTCCCCACCCCTGGCGGGGGATAGCCACACCGTAATCCCTTCTCCTCCATTCTCGTCTCTGGATTTTGGCCATACACATGTGTGATTTTTTTTGAAGCCACCAGGTCCAAGACTCGAACTGCAGTTGGCCATGTGGCCTTAACTACCATACCACCTGCTGTCCCCAAAGATGGCCTTTTTTATTGCATGTCCAACTACTGCTACAGAGATTCCTCCTCTATACATTGCAAAGACAAGGTTTTATTTATAAGACAGATTTAAAACTGAACTAGGGGGCAAACAGCTAAAAATGAATCCAAAATCCAGCAAACAAAAACTGTCCACTTTAAACTCAGACCTTCACATGACCGAAATTTCTACCAAGATACATACCCCACTAAGAGGTGGAAACAGTACTTACTTACTGTTAAGACCTCAGTGAGTGTACGCGTGGCTGCCTGAATTCTGCTCATCCAGGCTGAAAGCCAGCTGCAATCACACATATTTGGCTTGGAATAAGCCTCCTTCAGTATTTTGCAGTTTACTGCTGTTCTTGTACTATGTCCTAATAAGCTGGAAGACACTCAGTGTGTACTTTTTCACAGTCTCAGTTTGGTTCCAGCTGCCCAGTCCCTCATACCACCCACAGTGACTTACTGTGAAGGGGCTCCTTCCTCATTATCTGCGATGTCACTGTTGTTGTCCTCTGGTTAGGACGTTTGAACTTCATGCCTCCCTTGAAAATTGTGAGACTTTTAGATTTGGTTTTCTTTTTCGCTTTTTAAACATTTTGCCAGAATTTTTCTGCATTCACAGAGAGAGAGAGAAAGAAAAGGAAAGTGAGAAAGGCACCCTCCCCATGGGAGATGGTCATGCTACAGTCCCTTCTCCTCCATTTTTTTTCCTTCTTTTGGTATTTTGGGCACACATACACACACACACACACACACACTAGTGTGTTTTTCAAGATGCTGGGTCCAGTTAAAATACTTGAACTGTCCAGTTAGCCATGTGGGATTCAGCCACCATGCCACCAGCTGGCCCTTGATTTGGTTTATGGTCCCATGCCTTCGATCTTTATTACTTCCACTAACATAGTTATGATACTTGCATTTTAAAGAAAACACTTTAAGTTTTTTTTGTTTGTTTGTTTTTTTTTTGGAGAGGCTTATGCTGTAGAGCACACGTGCTCACCAGAAAGACAGAGAGAGACAGAAAATGAGAAATCACCCCCCAGGGGGGATAGTCACGCTGCAATCCCTTTTCCTCCATTCTCCTCTCAGGATTTTGGGCACGCATGCACATGAGTCTGGCGTGAGTTTAAGCCACCGGATCTGGGACTCAAACCACAGTCGACTACATGGGAGTCCAGCGACATAGCCATTACAGCAACTGCTGGTCCCCACTTATTTTTTTACTTCCCAAAGTGAGAAAATTATAAGAAAAAAAAGCTAACTAAAAAAATAAGAGGAACAGTGTAATGGTCTGTCTTCTATTTTTCTATTCGCCATGTAATAAACATGATCTGTGTCTCTTCCTGATTTTTATCATTTATCAGTACGCCTTAATGTTGGACTCAGCCTGTTTCCAGTTTTTCCTCCATTATGAGTAATGCTACAGGCACAAGTTCCCACACACTGCTTTTTCTTAAGGTCATTTCATAGTGAGGGTCTCTGTAGGAGATTTAAGCATCTGGATAGGTGGCGCTTAGGCTTAGGTTCCTAGTTAAACTAAAGGACCTGCCATGTGACATCTGTGTGGATCTGTCCAGGAGTATTTCCTTCTACTGCTTCCTGTTTTCCCTTCCATGTTCAGTAGCCTGTTACCCACTTGAGCACTGTAAACACTATTGTGAGGATCTGAAAACACAAGTATAGAGTGGTTTTATGTATCTTTCCTTTTGCTTTTGTCTTTGTTTTACTATAAAGTCAATTTTCTTTTTGCTTCAGAAAAAAATACTTCTTGTTAATTGTGAGAAATTTGAATCGTACATAATAGGACAAAAAAGGAGGGGGAAAAAAAGCCCAGGCTACATTAATACTCACTGGTAGATGCACTACTCAGGAGACTGAGGACACTGGCAAGGCCTAGGTTTGACTCTTGGCCCTTCCTAAAACTGGCGGTGGCACATAGCTGTAATCCCAGCTACTCAGAAGGCTGACGCAGGAGGATCCCGACATGGCAAGACCTTGTCCAAATTAAAAAAAAAGAAATGTTGACTTTGTAGTCATTCTAATCTGGGTTTGAATTCTGGTTCTGCCTCTTGGCTATTGATGTGGATAAATTAGCCTTTTCAAAGCCTTGGAGTCTCTGTCATTAAGATAAGCACCTTCTCTATAGAGTGGGCTTGAAGATCAAATAACTTCCTGGTACTAGTAACTCTCCAAATGTTATCTATGTTTGTTTGCTGGAGGTGGTTGGAAACCTTCATGTCTATGCAGTATTTAGTTCTTCCCAACTATTGGGTTGTGGAAAACTCATGACATCATGACATATTTTTTCATGTTTTTCTATGCAAAAATGCATCATGACTTTTCTGACAACTCAGTAGTTTGTAGCCGAATGGTGAAGCTTTCAGATGCAACTAATCTAAATATTTTATTTTCCATAGATAAGTAGTGTGTTCTAAAAGATAAATGTTCTGTCATTTTCAAAATCGTCTAAAGGAGAAAGGAAAATAATCTAAGTTATATTGGCTGTGTAATATAAAGAAAATATAATTAAATAACTTATCAAGTTGATGAAGAATAAAGTATGTTGAAATGTATTTCAAGTGAACATGGTTAAAAGAAATGTTCACAGTGATATTTCAAGGGGACCAGCAGATGATGTAATGGTTATGTTGCTGGACTTTCACGTACTCCCACGTAGTTGACCATGGTTCCACAGTTCGCATCTTGGACCCAGTGGCTTAAAACTCACTCTAGGTGCATGTGCGTGTGCGTGCATGCCCAAAATCTCAAGAGGTGACTGGAGGAGAAGATATTGTGGCATGGTTGTCCCCCCTGAGTGATTTCTCACTTTCTGTCTCTCAGTCTCTGTCTTTCTGGTGAGCATGTGCGCCCTATAGCAAAAACCTCTCCAGAAAAAAAAAAAAGAAAAAGAAACCCCTTTCTTTTGATTTAGGGGGAACAAAAGCTTAGTGAGAGAAATGACAGAATAGCAATTTCTAGAAATAATGAGACTTCTTTTTGAGTAAAGTATGAAAGCTTTTACAGTTTTTAAAATCAGGTTTGTACTTACACTGGGTCCGTCTTGAAGCTGTTTGTAAAGAATGTTAGGCTAAAGGATCTTCATATGACTTTAATTCCCTGTGTCTTCCCTCAGAG